TATAATCACTATCACCCCAAAACCCCAAAACCCCAAAACCCCTTGATAACAAATTCAACTAATTTAAAAAATCTTAAAACTAATTAAAAATCATTCATTTTACAAGTAAATTTTGGCATCGCATGCATAAAAGCCTTCTTCATCATGATTAACTCCCTTTTCAGTCCTCTTGATTTTCTTACCAGTGTATGTATCAATATAGTGAATGTTATTAAGTTGAACTTCAAGAGGGCTTACTACTCCAATTGAAATATCTCCTAGTTAATCAATAATCTTTTTAGCGTTGAACGACTGGTTCTTAGACCTATTGAAAAATTATAACAAATTTTGAAATTACTTGTAGCACTTCAAGATAGTCATATGGAATTTAACATCCCATAACTCAGTTTCAAAATCATATGGAATGTCTTTGAGTTAATGGTTTTCAATAATTCTCTCATTCAAAAACTCATAAATAATTTTACCTATAGATAATTGTATAATCATTATTGGTGAATAGAATAACTTACTTGCAATCTTCTGAAGCTTTGCATACCCTTCATCTCTTTTAAAATCACAGTAGAGAACTTATGCTTTCGTGGGATCATCAGTTTAAAATGTTTTAAGTCCTTTAAGTGTCAGGTAAAAAGGCTTAGGGTTCTATCCCTCACATGCGCCTAATATCTCTTATTAGATATACAGTTAATTCTTTATCAAAATGCTCTTGGCCTTAGAAAGTGTATTCTCATCGTCAGTGAAGTTAAAAGTATGAAGTGTAACATGTAGGAGATTAGAGCTAGTGAAGTAGTTATCACTTACTCCTTCTACATTCATTGCCTTGATCTTGTCCACCATTGCCTCGTAATTTGGTATAATTTCATCGAAATTTAATGGAATACAAACAATATGAGTCTTAGTTGACTTGTCTTTTTTTGATTGGTTTACTTATTGTGCTTGCAGCTTATAAGCCAAATTAGGATTTTCTGCATAGACATCCTTGGGTTTTTAAACCCTCATTTTGCCTCTGAAAGGTGGCTGATTAAAGTTTATTTCTGGAAGTCTATAGGAAGCACTGCCTATGTTTAGCTTAATAAATTTGTAATCACACTTATTTTCTACCATTGTTTAGTTATTATTTTTATTATAATTATTAATTTTTAATATTGATAAGACTAATGACGTGCGCTTGCATAGTAGAGATATTAATATATATATCCTTCATTTTTGGTTCATTAAAAGTAGCTAATACCTTATATTCAGCAATCAAGCACATAATTTACTATTCCACAAGAAAACCTAGAGATTTGTACAAAATTTATGGGAAAGAGTCAAGTGACAAGAACTAGAGATCATATGCTGTGGTTACAGGAGCTTCTGACGGCATTGGCTTGGCATACTGTAAACTATTGGCTAAGCAAGGATTTAATATCCTTATGATCTCACGGTCTGATGAAAAACTTAAGACTGTCTAAAAGGAAGTGTAAGCCTAAAACCAGGATGTCATTGTCAGCTATGAGGTTCAGGATCTTGGAAAACTTAGTACTTATAAAGAATACGTGGATAGATTTTAGAAAGTTTTTTAGAGCATAGATGTTGGTATTCTAATTAATAATGCAGGAATCGGTTTCACAGGATCATACCTGCAAATGACTTACGAAGAAGCTGAAGCAGTATTTGCACTAAATAATTTCCATGCAACTTACCTATGCAAGATGCTAATGAGCACATAAACCTCAAGGAATGAAAGGACAGGGATTATCGCTGTTGCCAGTTTGATGGCATACTATCATTTTCCTTGGCATATTTATTATTCCTGCACTAAAAGATTTATCGAATATCTTTATCAAGGTGTCAATTTTGAAGCATAAGCTGATATTAGAACTAAGGGTAAATTTGATGTTTAATGCTATTTGCCTGGATTTGTAGCCACCAAACTTAGCAGAAAAGAAGTTGGGTTTACTATTCCAGACACAATTACAGCTGCTGAAGGTGCATTAAAAGATTTGGGTAGGAGGGAAATTTCCTATGGAGTTATTGATCATCACATTTTAGGTTGGCTTATTAAATTCTTAGTAAAAACTATCCCAGAATCCATAATAGGCTTTATCTTGATGAAAGAAGGAGAGGCTACTCACAAAAAATTGAGATCGAAGGGTTATTCTTTTATTTGAAGACTTCATATCAATTCTGACATATCATCAATAATTTATTTACTTAATCCTCTAACTAATCCAAGTTTATACAAATTGCTATTTTATAATATCATATGAATTTCCTCTTAAAATTTATTGCTCGTGGGGTTTTGGGGTTTTGGGGAGATCGGA